AAGCGCTTGGTTCTCACATCTACGTAGAGTCTGATTAATATTTTACCAATGCCATACCAGTATATTTATTACAGATGGTGACCTCTTCAGTATTTGTGAAAAGAAATAGTTATAAATCAAATATAATAAAATACTTAGACTCCTCACACTGACATTTTTATTGTAATTTAGGCCACGTACAATTTGCTGTGAGGCAGAAAAGCGAACCAGCACACTTCCAACACAGCAGCAAACGATCGCATTCAATAACTCAAATAGCCTACTGCCACCAAAAGGAAAACAGTGGAATTACAACTATTACCAGTGGAACCAATAGAGTAAATTAAACTTCCGTAAGGAGGAGACAAATTTAGTATTTTATTCAGAATGAAGAAGTCTTTGAAAACCAAAAAAGCTGGGAGTGAGAACCTGGAAAAGCTGATCTCCCCCACTTTCTCAATGTTTTGCAAACTTATGGGATAGGAGGCTGGGAAGTATGGAGGCAGAGGGTAAAAAACAATTGACAGAACACTGAAATGGCACAGTTCTCCAGACCTAGCCTTCCTAGGGCTTTGTTCCACCTTCCAGGATATTCCACACAAGGAAAGAAATGAGATTTTTTTAAAAAGTAAATTTGATAAGGTAACATGATTTCTCTACAAAATAAATTGGGCATTTCAGAAAGAGGTCAGATGATGCATGCACATTCAGCAGGCCGATGCGCAGGAAAGGAAACAGCTCTAAAAAGTAGATCCTAACAACATCTTTTATAAATACAAACCCAGGACTACTCCATACACAAATCAGGGGAAAAGAAACATTTAAATGCTTATTGCTGCAGTAAATGTGATACACCTCTGCAGCCCTTATTCACTGCCACACTTTGCACAGGTGGAATGCAGGACGGTACAGGAAAGTCGTTCACGTTATTTGTGCTCAGCTCTAATACAAGCAAGTGGTTGATTTACGGTACAGATCTATGATTACTGCTTCGAGGACATGAAGTACTACAGCAATTAAGTCACAAGGGCAACAAATCTCTGCTTCTAACCATCAAGATGGGTGTCAGAGAAAAATAAATCCTCACGAAAGAAGAATGAGGCATTATTCATCACATCCAGTTTAGGTGCTTACATTCCCTACAAAGTCAACAGAAGACGGTGTAAGACAGCTAATCTTCCCCATACTGACCATACAAAGGACATGGCTTCTAAATGAGGTATTTGAAAATAAACAGTACAGCCACCTCCCAAGGGAGTGTATTTGGTGCGATTAGGTATTATTATCAATGGAGACATAAAAGTTACCCGTTGTCTTCTGAACTTCAGATGCAGATCACTGCACACAAGGGAAATGGTTGCATAAACCAGTACTATGACTTTCGTTGCTATTCTGCTGTTTGCTCTTCTTCCTCCACCACCCAGAGGAGGAAGGAAAAAAATAAAACCACAAAAAGCTGACACAAACATTGCTGTTAACATTTTAATCACGTACATTTTTCACAATGAATTAAGTATCAAGACCGGAATAAATTTTCTCAGAAATTCATGTGACAATTGACAAGGAAGGGACAACGCAGATCTTTAAGTGGAGCTTGCTCCTTCAGGTGCTGGGGAGGCACCAGCATCCAAGACGTATGTCCACAGACTAAGATGTTGTAAGCACAGAGGAACACTTTCAAAGTTTGCCGTTACTAGCAAACACACAAAACCCCCCACATTTAAATTCACAGAGATACTAAAAGAGTTCCAGGCAACTCTCTGAAGCGTGCAAGGATGTGTTTTGCAGTTCTCAGCTGCTTGAAGATTTAGTCAAGCAACTTGGAGGGCCAAGACAACCTCCCTCTGCCACATCGTTGGCACAAAAGGAAACAGCTCACGCCACGTATCCATGCGACAGCTTCAGACGAGGCAGTTGATGCAAGAGGCAGAGATTTGCAGGCTAGCTGTGAGAACCAAAAAGAAGGTGTAACAATAGCTAAGACAATGTTTTTTCTCCACTAGGCGGGTGGAGGAAGAGGAAAATAAGTTTAAGCCTCCCTACTTCCAAAGCACAATGCTAATATCAAACTTTTCTCCCCATGTTGGGAGGTGTAAAAGAGAGAAGGCCTTCAAAATGACCAGAAAGCCATGGGATTTTTTAGGACCCTCTAGAACAGACATCCTGAAGATATGCACAGGACTTAAGTGTTACTTCCTTTAAGTCACCCGCTAGAAATAAGCACCCCAAAATCCATGCATATTGGACATGAAGCTGTGTCTGTACGAAGTAGTTTGTGTACTGCTTAGCTCAAAACTTCAACTTTAAAGCGTGTTGAACTGTGTAAACTTCGGTTGTTCCCCAGGAACTTTGTCCATAAGGAGATCAGAAGAGTAGTGGCCATGAAGACCACGAGACAGGTCCGGTAACAGCGAGATGCTAATTTACATTGGAAGGCACGATGTTGGAGACCACAGTTGTCACCAGTTTTGGTTCTTAAAGCAGCACACAGGGAATGTGCTAACCTCTCCCCAACATACTGCCATCCTCCTAAGCTATATGTCTGTGTTACAGCAATGGCTAAACATCCAGTAATTTTAGTATTCTGTGTTTTCTAGGGCCTGAATTAATATTATGTCCAGAATGCGACCTCAACGGTGCTCGAATAAGAGTTCCATTTGAGAGGGAAAGAAAAAAAAACAACCAAAAAACCCACAGGCAAAACCAGAGAGTCTTAAGTCCTTCAAGAATCAATCCTTCTGATTCAGCTTTCATTCCAGGTTATTCAGGGCATCATATGAAACATCATTAAAGAAAACAATGGACCCTTCATAAAAACAGAACATGAGCACCAGCATCTTCGTCAAACTCCACATCTGTCAACTACATTTGCCTACCCAAGCTTCTCTAGCTGTTTCCTCTGGCACTTTCTTATCTTCTGGCCTCCAACACATAGTGGCTGAGCAGCTGTCATCTATGAGTAATGGCTAAAGACCTTCTGCAAACAGAAAAAAAAAGCCTATACAGAGTCTGGAGGTTATTCATACGAAGTTATCATTTATCTAAAGTTACCATACTGCAGTACTATGCTGAAATCACTAGAAAAATACTACTTGTGTACAAGATGCAGACTCTGACCCTCACTGGGCTTCGGTTCATGAGCTCTGGGAATGCAGGTTACCATCACCTCATGAGACAGAGCAGAGAACAGGCTGTGTGTCCAATTCTGAGAAACTCTAGCTCACCGCTGAGTGTATCAACAGCCACTGATTGCAGTTTGCTTCAATTTGCCAGCAGAATAGCTTGCTGCTGAAGAAGGAGCACATCTTGCTTCTCGCTCCCCTTCGCTCCTGGCTATGTAGTCCCATTTGGCTCCTTTAATCATCTCTGATGCTCACGAGCTCCTTGTCATGAGACAATTTAAACTCAGGAACTTTCCAGTAATTCTCATTTTCTTCCTCCCTTCGAGTTATTCAATAATCCAACAGAAAACCGTTAGCTCAGAGAGCAGTCCAGAAAGCACAGTAGTTGTCAAAAGGTAAGAAGCAGCAGCAACAGATGGGGTGCAAGGGGCAAGACCCCCTATTTTGGCAATAACATACTGCCCAAACAGCATCCCACATCTTGTGGAACAGGTGGCAGGTAGCAGAATACGTCGGGGGGTGGGGGGAAGAAAAAGTACATGCACACTTTTGACCTTGTAACAAATAAGAACACGGATAAAAGCAAGCAAAGCCAATTCCTTTTAAAAATTCTCACTTTTTTTAATCACACAGACTAACACAAGGTAATCCCAAGGATTCCTTACGGAACGGTAATTTAAAAGACATGGCTTTGAAGAATAGATTGATGATCTTCAGCGATACAAACAGCGTGCAGCAGAAATAACGTGGAGTGACAGGGAAAGCACCACAAGCAAAGACAGAATCATAGAAACATTCAGGTTGGAAAAGACCTTTGAGATCATCAAGTCCAACCATCAACCCTACTCTACCAAGTACATCCCTAAACCATATCACCAAGCACCACATCTAAACAACCTTTAAACACATTAAGGGATGATGACTCAACCACCTCCCTGGGCAGCCTATCCCAATGTCTGTCAACCCATTCTTCCTAATGGGAAGACATTCCTAATAGCCTAGACCTATCCTGATGCAGCTTTACTTGTATGTAAAAAAGACACCTTAAAAAGGGGCAAAAGACAACATAAAAAGCTCACTGCTAAATACACAGGGTTTGGCATGAAAGATTACGCAGCTAAAACTAAGCTATTGCATTTAGTTAAATTTTCTCCTCACATGAGCATACCAAAAAAAGCTACCGACCAAGTCTATAGGTGCTGACGAAGAGCCGGGGGTTTAACCGCCAGGCGGCAGCGGCCATCCAAGTATTTCGCACCTGGAGGCTCCCGGGAACTACGCTACGATTTTGAGAGGGAGATAAAAAATCCACCCCGGAGAAAAATATCTTCTTCCCTCTTACATATAAAGCAAAGTCTGTTTGCCGTTTGAAAGAGCTTGCTTCGTAATTGGTGATGCTTTCCCCAAAATACGCTTTTCTTGTAGGAAATCTGTACTTAGAAAAGCAGCTCTTCTCAGAAGGCTCTCAGGCAGCGATGCTTCTTCCAACGAGCATAAACCCCTTGGGTTCTTTCGCCCTTCACGGCGCACCGGCGGCCTGACGGGCTCCCGCTTCTGAGAAGAGGCGAAAGGCGACCGCCCGGCCTGGGGGGTGAAGCCAAATGCCACGCCGGCTGCTTCTGCCCTCCGGACAGGGCAGGGCTGTGC